ACTCGTTACTTATCAAATAAACTATTTAACAGAAAAGAGATCTAACACAAACCCAAACTCAAACACCCAAATAGTTTGGGTATTGAGTTTGGATTTGACGGTGTGGGTGTGAGTGGATGCGGCTGTGGGTGAGAATGTGAGTGTGGGTGAGCATGTGGGTGTGGGTGTGGGTGAAGTTGTGGGTGAGGGTGTTGGTGAGATGGTTTGGATATTTTCTCTTTACCGACGCCTATACCTCACGCCTAAACTCACAGTCACACTTACACCCAGTCAGCATAACACTTCGTTTTGTAGACAAATGCTAAACTCTCAGCTCACATCCTAAAAAAAATTCCATTTGAGAAATCCCGTGACGACTGATATTTTTTTTCAGTAGCTGCACTTTGTATAAAGTAGAATAAACGAAGTTTATACCAATATTAGATCTAAATAGTCTGCATGTACAGCTAAAAATTTTAGAGTGTTTACATTTATTAATCAGAATATATGAACATTGCAATTTAACAAAACCGAATTCCGCAACGCTGATTTTGTCGATATATAATTCTTATATTAATATTTTAATATATTTAGGTGTTCTCATTGCATTAGCTTGTTGTCATTGTTTTAGGAGCAAATACTAAAGAAGACGAAGAAACATTTTCTTCATTAATGAACTGTTACTCTTAACGCATCAAATGTTGAAAACAATTTTACCTTTTTGTTTACAATAAAGTAATGAGAATCATAGTGTTTATTATTCTTTCTACTTTTTTGTAAAGAAAAAAAAAAGTATTGCACATTATTCTCTCACTATGAAATAAAAACAAAAAAAATTACCATTCAATTATACCGTCAATACTTGATTATTCGAACTTGTATGAATATTTTTATCATTTTGATAAAAAGTTTTTTTCAAAAATCTTTTGTTTTCATGAAGAAAGCTTTGAGCTACTGTTGGTAATCATATCAGAAATACTACGTTTTTTTAGACATTGAGTGAGGGATTTTTACGGTTTTCTCTACCAAAATCACATCTAATTTAAAACCCAAGGTAATTAATCGATTCTAAATCAAATGGCATATTAAACAATACGAGTTTAGGAAAAACTGACTTGTGTTCATAAACACCTCAGCAATTTGGTATCATGATTTATTCAAAGAGGTGAGTTATTCTGTATACTGTCTAAGAACGTTCGATGCATAGTAGCTCATATATTTTCACAATTAATGTCTGCCATTTGAGTCGAGATTAGCATAATCTGACAATCTTTATGTATTACAATGCATCAGATCAAAAGCAAAGATCGTAATGAATGCGGCGAATTATTTAGAAAATGTTGAAAATATGATATGTCAAAAAATTCCAGAAAAAGATTTTATTCTCACTGAAGTTTTAATTGAAAAGAAAAAATGTGTATAAACTTAATAATAATATGAAACAATTAATTCATAATCAATTGAATTTGACCATCTAAAGGTGGGTGTGAGTGTTACTATATTACTCTTTCCTCATCTCACTCACACTCATCCATTCTTTTATTTTAGTTAAAATATAAAGTTATATATAAGTGAAATTAGTTTTTTTCCTGACAACAAAAAGAATAACAATACAATAGATGAGACGAACTACAATGAATACTCTCAGAAATATACGTAAAAATTTATTACAATGCTTGTTGTCTGATAGTTGTTAAATAGGTCTGCTATATTGCCATAATTGGATGAATACGAAGATGTTGTCTGAATGTAAGAGTAAATAGTGCACGCAATTGAGGTGTTAAGCAAGCTGTCGCCATCGGTAAGATTGATAATGATAAAGTGAATGTTAGCCACTGAAAGTGATAAATCCATGGATATAAATAACCACTGATAAGATACCAGAAATATAATACCGTCGAAGGAAAACTCAACATACAAAGCATTCCAATGAGAATAAGAATGCGACGAAGAACAGTTAAGTCACGTTGATTTCCTAGTTGACGATTTTGGTGAATGAAAATACTTCTGTTCTGTTTCATATAATATACAATGTAAAAGTAAATTGATCCAATGACAATCATCGGAAAATAATATACAATAATACCGATATTTATTATTCCACGCCAATTAGTGTATAATATTTGACAATAATAATACTGTGGAATATAATCATAATGTTGAAGAATTAATGAAGGTATCAAAACAAGAAAATCTATCAACCACTGGACTAAAACTAGTCGAAACATGAATCGAGAACTATATAATTGTTTATGTTTGTAAAAAACCACACGAAATAAACGAAAACATGCTTGAATTAGATATGAATGATAGAGTGCAGCAAGTGCAACAGCGACGAGATAGCAACGTGTGTAACACCACCAGCTGTTGAAAGAGATATTTTCATGCAAGACACCATACAAATTGTGTGCATACGTGTCTAATAAAAGTAGACAGGAAATCATGCCGGCTAAATAGT